ACAGGGATTCTGCTGCCTTTATTTTGGATTGCTTCCGATAATGTCAACAACCTTTGCACGCACTCTGAATTTGTTTCTGCCTTGTGGCTGTTCAGCTCACATGTTGACCAGGGTTTAATAAACTGGTGTCTTTGCAAGCCACAGTGATTCCCTCTGAGTACTTCAAATAACAGGGGCTGATTGTGAGGCATGGACATAAGGTGGATGGAGATCTCAGCTGGACGGGCAGTCCACTCAGACCGCAGAGCTCTTACTTCCGCCCAGGGTCTGACGCGGCTCTGGAGGCACCATGTCAAACGCGGAGGCTGGTTGCGCTGCTGTGCTGTCCCACCCTCAAGACGGCTCAGCTGGCCTTCCTGCCTCTGCATGGCTTAGAGTGTCTTTCATTTCCTGTTCTTGCCACCAGCCGGTTATCTCTCACTCCGACCTGCTCGCTCACAGTTCCCACCACTTCCTGGTCCGCGTGGCACCGCTGCATCTGCCTTCTTAGCTTTTACTCCCTGGTGTCTGCTGCTCGTGTACTGTGTGCACCTCGTGTTCAGGTTCACCTAGAGAGCATCTGACTGCTTTGCTTAAACTGCTGTGATCTTTTTCTGATTCTCCTGCCACAACAAGTCCGGGCCACTGACCAGGATTGCTGTGAGGTTAGTGCTCACAGTGGTCCAAGCAGGTCCAAGCAGGACAGTTCACTCACATGCAGTGATGCACTGGGAGCGGCTCTTACTGGTCCCCTAGAGCTGACGGTGAAATGTCTAGGAATTTGTTAAATTCAGTCAGCAGTCCAGTTGTTTAACAGTCTATAGCTGGAAATCAGCTGGTAGGAGTACTTACACCACAAATAATGGCAAAGGCTATAAGTCAGGGCTCTTTTTTCCCCCGAGAGAGCCAGTTTGCCAGCACACGGCTGAATGGAGTAGAGAACAAGGCTCACTCCCAGGAAGCATGCAGAGCCCTCTCCCGTGGTTGTGTGGCTGCCATTCTGAGGTGCTCCTGATGGGGGCAGTGTAACTGGTAAGTGCCCTGTGTGGCTCGTTGAGTCTCACCTGGTCACTCCCTGGAGTTCCAAAGTACACATGGACTCCTTTCATCATTGTTGCTGCCCCCAGTTGCTGCTATATTTATGGCTGAGTTTCCCCTGGAGCCAACTGTGAGATGGAGCCTTGTGTGCAGAAACTTACTGGGGGGTGTGCTTGAGTTCAACTCTTATGGAGGAGAAGAGGTAAGATTGCACAGAGGGAGGGGTTGAATTGTAATGTAGCTGTCAAGAAGGCATCAGCCAAATCTGAGGAAAAGGACCAGTAATTGGATGGGGGCTGCCCTTTGGACAGGTGGCTCTTTTTAGAGTAGAGTGATTCCCAGGGAGGAATTCAGCTTAGAGCATCAGATCAGCTGCCAACATTCCCAGTGACTGGAGAAATGAGTATCTGGCCTTAAGGGACACTCTGGATGTCTCACACACATGCACTGCGTGCAGAAGTGAAAAAAGTGTCTCAAGTTGTTTAGGTTTCCCATGTTAAAGCTGTTTAAGTAGGAAAGTTTTCATTATTTTTAACAAATCTGTACAGATTGTAGCTCTTATTTTATATAGCCTTTCTATTTTTCAGGGCTGTCGTTTCCTGGAAAGAATTGTGGCCCCAGTTCCCTCACTAGCAGGATCAGAGGACAATGTGATTGACGCTGTGTAGTGTCACACTTACCGACCTTAATCATGCATGCCCTGCTCTTCTTGTCCTCTCTCCTCAGAGGGGCTCCTGTCTCCAGCATGAGTGTCGTAAACCAATGATTACTGATTGCACTGCAGCCTTTCTCTTCACATTCTCCATCTTGGCATTGGTTTCAGTGCTCCCCACTCCCCTTCTTTCTGGCAGACCTCTTGCATGTTTTTATAGGTGGGTCTCAGCAGCCTATGTTGACTTGCCCAGTTGCAGATGTGGGTGCCCCAAGAAGTGTTACCTTGGGGGGACCTTGTGAGATATGGCATGTTAAAGATGACCCTGAGTTCTCTGACACTCTCCTTTTGAGAATTTTGGGGGTTTAGTTGTCTATGTCCCTTTACTCTGAAAATGTGTGACTCAGTGTTTGCCGTGACCAGGAGGAAATGGCAGAGATGGCATTGTACCTGTTGCTTGGCCCAGTCCTTAAGAAACTGGAAGGCTCTATCTCCAGTTTTTAGAAAACTACTTCCAAGAACATGTAAGTCCAGCTACTTGAGACCATCATGCTGGAGAGGCCAGAATAGGCGCTCTGGTCAGTGGCTGCAGCTGAGTCCTGGCTGCCAGTCATCCCCTCCTGGGTGCCAGACGTGTGCATGAAGCTGCATTGAACCCTCCACTCAACGCATCCACTGGGCAGATATCCTGAGCAGCCTCAGCCAATGCCATGGGAAGCAGAAGGATTACCCAGCTGAGTCCTGCCTAAATTCCTGATTGGATACAAAAGGTCTTAAGGTATCATCAAATGAATATTGCTTTGAGCCGCTAAAGTTTGAATTGCTCTGTGACACAGCAGGGAATCCCAGGATCATCAGGAATGTGGCATTCTCAGTCTCTGACCAGGACAGTGATATTTTCCTCATGGTTGTTTCATAAGTACTGCAATTAAATGTTCCAAAAATATCAACTGCTCAAATATGTTGCTCAGAATTCATTAAGCAATTAAGTGTCTAAGACCTCGACATGTAAGGGATGTGTGTTGGGAGTTCACAGCCTTTTGTCTATTAGATGAGTAGATATGGAGAGTGCCAGGTCTTTTTCTCTCTGTTCCCCCCTTTCCTTTAGAGTATAGTCCTTTTGATCCAACCTGTAACCTTGTAGAAGGGAATATGAAGTGGTTGGAAAATAGAGGGTTAAAAGCAGTGGTATTTGGGGCCACCTTCACTCCTTCAGAATGGAGTGGAATCCTAGGATGTGTTCCATTTACTACTTGGGGGCTGTTATCTCTCCTTGAGGACAGAGAGCTTTAAAAGTCTGACCTTGCTAAGAAGATACTTTTATCTGCTCTCCTTCCTTTGGGGAGAAACCAGCTTTTCACGGAAAAATTTCAATTGTTTTTTTTAAAAAGAGAGAGAATGGAATCTTCACTGAACTGCAGCAGAAATGTGGACCCCGTGAAATGAAATATGATTGAGAAATTATTCCCAAATCGAATCAGACAATGAACAAAGAATCTGACTTCTGCATACCAAGACGCTGTCCCTGTGAGCCTTGCTGTGGTAAAATCTTCTGTGGTCAGGCAGTCTCAGATACCCCGAGAAGCCTCCTGAGAATTCTTTGTAATTTGACTCATAATTTTGCACTCCCTGTCCTTCTCTGCTGTGCTCTTGGGTAAGCACAGAGAGGACTTAGGACTCTGTGGAGCTGCTTTGAGCTGCTAAGATTTGAATAGACCAGAAAAGAGTGCAGGAACATTAACTGTCCTGTGCATAGGACTAACCCCATCACACTGTCTTCTGTGCACTGGAATTACAGAGGTGAAGAGGGAGTCCACCCCAATGCCCTCTTTCTCTCATGAAGAAGAGGGAGGCCCAAATAATTTACATGACTGATCAATATCACATAGCCAGTTACTGGCAAGTTGGGATTAGAAAAGCAGTCATTGTATTGTGACCATATCAACTCCTGCTTTTATAAATTTGTTCCATGCCAGGCACTGGTGGTCAAGAGCTGAATAAGACAGAGGTGGTCTTGGCCTCGTGGAGCCTACTCAGAGCAATCTAGGGAGGCTGAATTAAAAAATGGGACCCTGTGATGGAGTACAGAGTTAGTAGGATCTTAATCAAATTAAACTTTCCTTGGCGGAGTCTTACTTATTGAACTGATGTTAGAGTCACCGAAATTTCTTCTAGGATATTCTGATACCCAGAACATTCTTGGGGGAGAAAAGTTTGCTCTTCTTCCCTGATTTTATTAAATATTTTGTTAGCGATTAAGTTCACAGGCTTCATTTCTATTACTTTGTTGCGAGCTTTGCCCTTGTTCCCATGGAAACCTGGAAGCTGCCTAGTCAATCTCAGGTTCTACGGCTAAGGTTGATAGCCCTGTAAAAGGTTTATTCGTCTGATTTTGTTGTCAGGGAGAGTTATTTATTTACTCTGCTCCTTTTGGTTTATACTCTTTATCAAGTGGAACTGATTGTTGATATGAGACAAATAGACAAGTTGATATATGAATATAGACAATTCTGATATGATGTAATTTGCATTTAGAAGAAGGTTCTAGAGCACTCTCAGGGCAAGATACAGTTTATCTTTCTGTATAAATATGTTAGCAGCAACAATTGAATGAGAAACAACCTAAAGACAAGATTGGATGGGAATGTGTTGGGATAAACCATGCTATATTGCCTGGATTCAACTGTTTATAATCTACAAAAATGGCAATGTCCTGTAATTCAACTAGATGTATTCTATTG